ATGCCGTCGATCTAGTATACTGGATGTGCTCGCACACCTTGTTCACGTTCTGCTCGCTCTTCTACTTGTTGTCTTATGCCATCAGTACAGTGTTCCTCGACATGCACGTTCAACCCTAAACCCTAAACCCTAAACCCTAAACCCTAAACCCTAAACCCTTGTAGACTTCACTTTCCTTCAGCAGAAGGGTTCAGGGCTTCGGAGTTGGAGTTGCTAGGGTTTTGAAGTTTTGAGGGTTTAGGGATGCAGAGAAGTTGGGACCCCTTGACAGGTGACAGCCTCTAAGTGATGAAAGTTAAGCCGTTAAGCCGTCATGATTTTGTGCTCAGCCGTTCCGCGAAGCAGGGTCTAAGCCGTGATTGGAAATAGGGTACTCGCATTGAATTATAGGATTCTGAAGCACAAGCATCCCAAAACATAGAACCCTAAACCCTAAACCGCAGAACAACCCCTCCCATAGGTTCGCCGCCGGGCTTTTCGACGACCTTGAGTCAGTGCTTGATGACTCCTCATCGCGCAGCTTGGAGTGCACAAGATTGCATGGGTGGTTAATGTTTGAGGGTTTATAGTTGTAGGCATAGGGCTTCAGAGAGTAGGCTTTAGGGGTTTAGGGTTCTTAGGCTTTTACAGGGTGTTAGGGTTCAATGGAGCGCTATGGGTTTAGGGATTAGGGTTATCCGGCTTAAGGGGTTTCTCAAGCTATGTGATTTGGATGCAGACAATACCAACCTGGACCCTATTGTAATTAATTATGAAACCTACCTGTCTAGGGATCCTTATTCGAGTTACTTTAGAGAAGTCCTTAAACAGGCAGGTTCTTGAGGGTCCAGAAAGGGCTTACATGTAGGATTTGCGAGAAGCGCTTCAGGCTTCAGGTCTGGGACCCTAGGAGTGTTGGTAGCACTGAAGCAAGAGCTTTTGGTTTACTATAACGGTTCCTATAAGGATTACTATAAGGGCTCCTATAAGGGTTTAGTATAGGGTTTAGGGTTTAGGGTTTAGGGTTTAGGGAATAAACGCGACCCACTCCTGTTTGCGTTTCTTTCCGTCCAGTTGTAGAGGAGCGTGTGGGGATGCAGCCTTTCGATGGGAGATGGAAATGGGACAAGTTGTTCCGGAATGGCCCCTGATTCGTTTGTACATGAATCAACACTCAAAGCCTCGACATTCCCACCACCCTAAACCTCATGCTCTAACTCTAATGAAGTGTTTCAGATATTTCGGCGACCGTGCGGACGATGCCCGAAGCGCACATCTGAAACTTCGACTTTTTCGGCCGACCGCCGGAACACAAGCGTCGGAAATCCAACAGGAACGGTTTAGGGGTTGAGGGTTTACTAACCTTTGGGTAGTTTTCTAAATTAGAGTCCCTTTTAGGGTCCTTTTTATAAGGGTGCCGTATTATATTGGGGACCAAAAAGGGGACCCTAATTTAGAGAACTACCCATATGGGTCGCAATAATGATTGTTGGCATTCCTTCATCTCCCTCTGTCCCCTACACCCTAAACCCTAAACCCTAAACCCTAAACCCTGAGATGGAGACGGTGCCCCTCCTTCGGTGCAACCTGTCCCTCCTGACTCCAGCCCCTTCACCGTCATTGGCACGTCCTCTTTTAATGCCGAGACGACAGTGAACTCTGCACCACTAACACCGGGGGAGAAAACAGCAGCCTCACTACAGGAGATGGACCCTCGCAGGCATCGTCTGATTCTTCTTCCACCCCGGCGATTGGCTTTTGGTCGCGAGGTGAATGGCAGCCACGTGAACGTACCCCTGCCGAACAACGAGCATAGAGGCGGGATGGGTCCCCAGCGTCTTTTGAGGAAGAAAGCACGCATGGACGCGTACTACGCAGGAAAGTGGAAACCAGCGTGGTTGGAAAACTATGTCCGTGACAAGGAGAGGCGATCTCAAGCGATGGGTGAGCCGAATGTGCCTTCCTCGGATGAGCCCGACGCGGACACCACGGAACAGCCCGTAGAGCCCACCGAGCTCACGGATGTTGACCCCTGGTCCAGCCAATGGCAACCATGACAATCCCGCTCGTGGTGGGGATGGCAGTCCTGGGATGACAACGAGGAGTACAATGGGTGGTCATGGTCGTCTTCCTCTTCTACGACAACGTCTACTACCGAGGGTGACATTTGGGACTTCCCGCCGAACCATGGATTATTTCCTACCGTCACCCCCGTGCCGATTGAGGTCGAGGAAGCACTTTTTATGCGACTAACTGGCGCTGAACGCCCCACCCTCCAAGAAAACGGGGTTCCACACGAAGCGCTCACGCGGGTGGAAGAGCTACTCGATCGCCTGGACGACCATAACTCTTTTGAGTCAGGCCCCAAGTCCAGGTGGGCTCTTCGCTGCCTAGTGCAGCGAGTGGAGGACGGCATGCAGTGTATGGACGCAATCCTCGGGGTGCTCCATCGTCGCCTTCGTCCACGCGGGTACCTGCCTATACTTCGGGTACCACGACAAGAGGCCGACCGTATGAGATACTTCTCGTGGGTCAGACAGTATGCCAGCTTGTTTATTTCCTCCATGGAGATACACTTTGCAGCCCACATGCAGCCGAGCGAATGCCTTGATGACTCAGCACTTCCGCTGACAGACCGCACTTTGGGGACTGTTCCGCCACCCTTTCAGGAACAACCGTCCTCGTCTGGTGGTGGACAGAACCTCGCTCGCCCAGCTCCCCGTGAAGCAGAACATCAAGATGAAGGTGAATCATCGTCCTCCAGCTCCTCGCCCAGCGTTCGTGTGCGAAGTCGTTCCCCTGTGTGTGGTCCATCTCAAATGGTGCCCACTATGAATGCCACGACAGTTGCGACGGGACCGTCTTGCCTTGCAAGTGACACCGCTGGGTCGTTGTTCCAGCCAGGTGAAAACCAACAGAGAGCACTTCAGGGTGAACTGCTAGGGATCTGGAGTGAACCGTCGACCACCTCGTCTTCCAGCACTACGAGCACTACGTCGCTGATAGGGGGTGAGTTTAAGGAGGGTCAGCCTGTGTCTGATACGGTGTCGTTCATGCAGCAACCTCCATCCTCTACGCCTTCGAGCACCGCCACGCGGGTTTCGAGGGTGACTTGGTACCTGGGCTCCTCCACCTCGTCGACTACTACCTCAAGCTCCTTGGGAACGACGTGGCCCTGTGACCTGGTTCGTGACGCAGTGAACCGTGTGACATCATTGACCTGATTCGCCGGCTCAATGACAGGAGGAGACAACTGCAACACCAAGAACGTCTCCTAGGGGTGGCGATCAACGAGGCCCTCCAATGGCTCAGGGCACCGCACAGCGCCGTCCCCTTCAATGGTGCACTGATGGAGAGAGACGTGATGGAGACGATCCTACATGGAGTCGGGCACGGCTCTGGACCATCTGACACCACTCCGCACCACCGGGTCAATAGCCCTGCTGTGCTGGTGCAGCCGTCCTTGCCGGAGTCGCTGGAGGACATCGCGCGCATGCTACCTGACCAGGAGCCGCACACCATTGCGGGATACCGTCGTCGGCTGTGGCAGAGACATGTGGAGGACCTATATTACCAGCGACACCTCGAACCACCTGTCGACCGTTGGCGCCCAGAAAACGACCGCGACCTGTACCTGGTCCAGACGAACGAGGATGAGATGGTTATAGATCGCTCGTCAAGCTCGCGTCTGCCGGCATTGGTTCATCATGGCAACGCCAGGGACCGCACATTTGGGCGTCGTCGTGCTGAACGTCCGAGGCCGAGGGAGGGTGACCTTTTGGCCATGGTCAATTCTCCAGTAGCTGTTGGTCGTGAGAGGTCCCAGAGCAGGAACAGTTCCGAACGACTACACCCAGTGGTTGCACGGTCTTCTCCTGAGTCTCGTGGTGCAGATTCGCAACTTAACGAAGAAGACGAAAGGGCCGACATGGGACGCCACTGCGAGCTCGCCTACCACGACAGCGATGGCTTCCGGCTCACCTTCAACAACGACGCCAACTTCCAGCTCCCCTACGGCTACAACGTTGACATCGAGCTGGTCGCCCACCTCGAGCTGGTCACCTTTGGTCCTTCCTGTGTGCTCATCTGGGAGCGCCTCATCTATGTGTTCGCCAGAGTCGTGTGAGACAGGGTCTGAGTCTTTGTTGTGCACCTCCTGCCCTACTTCCTCGACCACTTCCCTGACCACTTCGGTGGCCTGAAGATGCTGTGGATGGGCTTTGTGTAAGAGGTGCAAAAGTGGAACGACAAGCAGACGGTCGGGAGTGTCTTTCTGAGGAGCTCGTAGTTTTCTGTGTGCGTGTCAACTGACATGTTGTTTTGGAGAGTGCAGGCCTGAATTGGCCAGTCTCGCGGTAGTGTGAAAGGGGCTAGTGCACTTAAAAAAAAAACCCTAAACCCTAAACCCTCTGTCCCTATCCAACTGTAATCAAGAGTCTCATCTCCGCGATCGCAGAGCCACTGGGGAGCAGAGCAACTTAAGAAGCTTAAAGAAGTACCAAGATTATTCCTTAGGGTTCCTTATTATGCATCTACTATAAAAGAGCCCTAAACCCTAAACCCTAAACCCTATAAAAGAGCCCAAAACCCTATTCTAATTATGAAGGCCCTTACACAAAGCCCCCAAGCCTACACTCCCGACCTGCTGCTCAAGCCAGAAACCCTAAACCCTAAACCCTAAACCCTAAACCCTAAACCCTAAATCCTAAACCCCAAACCCGAAACCCGAAACCCAGATTCCGGGGCCTTCAGCCTTCAGCCTACTAGGACGATGTCAGAGAGACCAGGGTAGCAATATTTGAAATCAAAATTAATTGGGGTTATTGTGTACGTACTCTTATATACATGTGTGTATATATATATATATGTAACATGTATGTATATATATATATATACAGATAGGTCGATAGATAGATAGATAAAGCATAGCACAGGTTATCTCATGCCAACTACTACGTCATACGATTCTTGCAGAGCCTGAAATCCGAGCCTGAGCTCTGGAACGCTTTGTCCGGGCCCAGGAATCCAGTCCCTCGCCCACCAGCTGGTGCAGGACTTGTATCAGGGTTTCGTCAGTTTAGGGTTTACGGTTTAGGGTTTAGGGTTTAGGGTTCGTCAGGTTTTGATCAGAAGCAGGCTTCGTGAGAGCTGGTTGGTCGTCAGACCTACGTTCCCATAGACGGAGCAAGGGCTTCATAAGCCTTTAATAAATAGGGGCTTAGTATGGCTTTAATAAGACCTTCATCAAAGCTTAACATGGCCCTAATAAGGCTTCAAGAAGGCTTTAACTCTAAATCAAAACACCCGAGGCCATGACTCGCTCAGGGCCTTGAGTCGTGATTCAATAAAGGCTTAGGATCTTCTTCACACCAGACAATGTCAGCAATGCGGCATGCACTATCAGGGTTTGGGATATGGTCCGGAGGTGGTTTCAAGCCTTTCAATACAAAGCCAATGCAAAATCAACAGGCCTATCCCTAAACCCTAAACCCAAAAAACTAAACCCTAAACCGTGTTTGGATCCTTGGCTTTATGTGGCTTGAGCTTTTTGGGGCTCACCTGCTGGGGGCTTGAGATAGGCTGCGGACTTCCGGTTGCGGCGGAAAGTGAAGCATCGGAGCTGTTGCAAAGGGCTAAACCCTAAACCCTAAACCCTAAACCCTAAACCCTAAACCATAGTGCACGCTCAAATTGAGCGAGCTTCTGGACCTCGTGCGAGAGAAAGGGCTAGTGCATGAAAAAAAACCTAAACCAGTCCGACTTTTCGGTCTCCTGAGTGCAATTCGCTGCGGGTTTCGGCTTAAGAAGACTGCGCCCAGATCCCAAACACTGGACAGGAAGTTCGAAAGCCAGCCATGCAATCACACCCCTTCGTTTTCAGTTTACGTCTTGGGGTTTGGGACTCGTGTTTTGCGGTTCGCATGGCCTCAGGAGCACCAGCAGGAAGTCGGCACGCTACAGAGGGAGCTGAAAAAGATTAAGTTTCAGTTGGCGGAGCCTTGGATGGTGTCTACTGAGACTACTGTCACCATACTACTGCTACTACTGCTACGACTGCTACTACTACTACTACTACTACTACTACTGCTACTACTACTACTACTACTACTACTACTACTAGTACTAGTACTAGTACTAGTACTAGTACTACTAGTACCAGTACTAGTACTAGTTACTAACGACTAACTACTATATGTACTAGCTACCAACTACTAACTACTAACACTACTACTGCAGACGCAGACATGCAGACACGCACACACGCAGAACGACAGACAGGCAGGCAGACAGACAGACAGGCATGCAGGCAGACAGACAGACAGAGAGAGACGGACACACAGGATAGCAAAGGCACGCTTGTCAGTCTATGCATCCCAAACTCTACACTCCTGAGCCCTAAACCCAAAGCCCTTCACCCTTGAAACGCCAAAATCCTTAAGTGCTGCAGCCCTGAACCCTAAGCGAGCAAAGTTCTTCCCAGCCAACCAGAAACGCCAAGGACCTTGAGCTGGAGATGTGTGAGATGAAGTCCAGGAACGAAGACCTCGAGGAGGATCCCACACCTGGTGTTCGGGTTTGGGGCATCTACACCCCTAAACCCCAAACCCTAAACCCTAAACCCTAAACCCCAATCCCCTAAACCTGACACCCTGACCGACTCCTTCCGCAGGTGAAGGTGGCAGAGAAGACCCGGCGAGTTTCCGGTAAAGAATCGGTTGGCGCCCCGTCGTCCGGTTTAGGGTTTAGGGTTTAGGGTTTAGGGTTTAGGGTTTAGGGTTTAGGGTTTAGGACTCCAGTGTAGGGATAGCGTTGGGTTTGGAGTTTTATTGGGGGTTTTGTTGGCCTAGGGATTTTTCTCCAAACGCTGTAACTTGAAGCCTTAACTGCGAAGAGCCTAAACCCTATAACCGGAAGCCCTCATAATTTTTTTACCCCAAGCCCTCAAAACCTCAAGCTCTAAACACTAAGCCCCCGGGCCCTAAACCCTGAAACCCGAAGCCCCAGACGCCAGGACCCTCAAAACCCCAAAAACCCTAAACCCTAGACCCTCATCCCTAAACCCTAAACCCTGCACTTAAAAAAAAAACCCTAAACCCTAAATGCCCAAAACCATGCTCTTTGGCCTTAAAACTCAGGCTCCAGTCGGTCAGCGACGTGCTCAGCATTTGGCCAGCTTGTGGGTTTAGGGTTTAGGGTTTAGGGTTTAGAGTTTAGGGTTTAGGGTTTAGGATTTCGGGGCTTAGATGGCCTTAAACCCTAAACCCTGCTTGGGGTTTTGGGCTGCGGAGCTTTTGCATTGCAGTGTTCTTGTGGGCATCGGATGCTTAGGGGTGCGAGGCTCTCTGGTGTTCGAGGGCTGGATTTCAGTGTTTAGGCCTGTCAGGCTTTAGGGTTTAACGTTTAGGCCCGTTTAGGCTGAAGGCTTTTGGGTTAAGGGTTTAGGCTTTAGGGTTTAGGGCTTTTAGGGTTTAGGCTGTAGGGATCTGCATTTGGATCATTGAGATGATTGGCATGATCGCACAGCTGATGCTCCTGATGCGGCTTCCTTTCCAGGAAATGTAATATAGGGGCCTGAATAATTAGAATAGTGGTCTGGGGCCCATTATATTATAATAAGGGGCCCCCAAAACAGTATACGTAATTATATAAGCCCCTAAATAAAGGATTGCAAGAGCGATGTTATCTGCCATCGATGGTTTCGGAATCTTTTATTGGCAACATTGAGAAGGTCAGACTCAGACTCGAAGCAGCATACTTGGCAGTCTTACCAAGCGCACATATCATTGCTGTGCAATCCCCCGAAGAACGAGGCGGGCTGTACTTCAAACTCCTATTGTTGCTTCGGCTCTCCTTTCTGGGGCTCTCAGCGTCAACAGAGGGGCTAGAGCTGATAGTTTGTGTATGATGTGAAGCTCGTGTATGCTCCACACAAGACGGCTGTGCCGAGGATCTACAGTGACATACGGAAAGCCATCATAGAAGCAATCATAGAACAAACAGGTATAGAAATGATCGTAATGGTAATCGTATTCATAATGGCAAGAACAGCATCAATCGACATAGTCGCCAAAGAAACCCCAACGCCCTCAAGCTCCAGACCTTCTGCCAGCTCAAGTTCACGTTTACACCCTCAAGCCCCTTTACGTCAAGCTCGAGACCTTTTAACCTTTTAGGTTTGAGGTCCAGGGTTTAGGGTTTAGGGTTTAGGGCTTTGGGGTTTAGGGGTTTAGGGTTTAGGTTTTAGGTAAGCCTTCGCCACCAATCCGTGACGAAGCCAAGGTAAAAGACAAGCCGCAACTACAGCGATCACTATCTGCTGCCATGTGCAAGCACCACCAGGCTGGACTGTGGGATCAGTTTCACGTAGGTCATAAAGCATGTGCGTGTACATATGTGTGTATATATATATACACATACATATATGTCATATATGTCATGTATGTTTATACTTGTACATTCACGCAAGTTCGAGTAAGTTACAGTACAATATCGTATCTTATTTGGTATTACTAGTACCCTATCGCAGTAGATACCTTCTAAACCCTAAGCCCTAAACCCTAAACCTTAAACCCTAAACCACTATAGGTTTTCGGGCCCTAGTGCAGGGCTCGCGGCAGTTCGTGCACACTGGTTACTAGCTCAGCCTGCAAAAGTGCTCCTTCCAGGGTTTCGACGTTTGTACAAAATATAGGGGCCTTGATAATTACCTATGTTGGGGCCTCCTTGTTATAATTATAGTAGATGGCCCCAAAACCGTCTTCTGATTATTAAGGCCCCTATGTTACGTGGACCATATCGGTATGCTGAGTTCAGGCCGGTGTCTCAGGTTGTGTGCTGCTTTAGCGAGTGAGATGCTCTCGCAGTTTGTGTTGAGTCACCCACTGGTCGGATGTATTCCTCTTTACCCTCGTTCGTACACCGCTTCGTTACAGACTTTGCCCTGTCTCTGGCGTGCTTAGAGCAGTCTGCTGTGCACCTGGTTAAATGAGTCTCAACCCTAAACCCTAAACCC